CATTCCTGAAAAAAATAGGTAGTAACCCAAGAAAACTAGGTTATAGGGGCATGCCTAAAGATTTATCTCCTGAGTTGCAGGGTATTTTAACTGGAGATCATGCATTAAACAAAGAATGAATACCTTTGATGGACCAGTTCCCTCACTTTGAACGTGGAGATGGAAAACAAACACGGCACAGTTGAGAAACCACTGGACTGGGGGTTAGAGAAGCATATTTGTGTAATTTGGCCTTGAAGATCAAGCTGATGAGGGCTACCATTCTCACTTCACTGCCCTGCACAGCTCTGGGAGGGACTGTCATTCTCATTGGAACAAAATTAAATAACGTTTCTTCAGCAAAATTATAGACTTGGCCTTATCAGTGGTGCCCCCTGGAGTTGTGCAGTACACAGCCTGCACAGCTGTACATGGCTGTTCTGACATAACCTAGTATTCTGGGCTCTTGTAAGTTATGGCATAGAAATTTTGAATGAGGTAGGAGAGACAAATGAGATCAGGAAAAAATTATGGCTCTTTGTGAAACATTCTCTAGTTCTTATGTATATCTCAAGAAAGTAAATTTTGGCTTATTTTCAATTTTCCCAGGACTCTACAGTGTCAGCTATTCAATAGATACTCTGCCAGTTCCTGTTAAACAACCAATGTGTGAAAGCCATTTATGTTTAATCTGAATGTTCATTAGCATAAATATCACTAAACGTTTGAGAGATGAATTTCTCTACAATGCAACTGCAGAGCTACCCTGTAGATCTGTAAGCTGTGCAGAGGTTTAAACTTTTATGATTTCAATTTACTACCACCTGAGGCGAAGGACTTTGGCATGTCAAGTTACTGAAGCTCCTTAATTTTTTGGCAAGACTTAAGTGAATTCTAGGGTACTCCATGCTGTCAGCTTAGCACTAATATTTTTTAAGACAAATGCACTTAACATTTACACTCAGTGGGCTTTTTAAAAACAAAGCAATTACTTACACAGCATTAATTATATAAGCTGCCTCCTTCTGACAATTCAAATTCTCTTCCAGGGTCATTTCCGAATATTGGCACATCAGGTGCTGAAAAAATGAACAGCCGTAACATACCTTAAAGACTCTTCAGGGATGAAGAGGCATAAAATGACCAGTAGCGTTTTCTGATATGTAGTACTACTGACCCATGTCTGAGGCGTGAAATCAAACCCACTGGTAACTATTTTTCCTTCTGTAACAGGTCTAAAACATTACACAGCAGCTCCTGTGGGGTCAGGCTCCTATCCATCTTTCCAACTTCATATTGCTCTGCCTGCTCTCTTGCTCCTGGTCACCCAGCCACAGGCAGGCCTTCCCTCAGCTCCAAGAACACACAGTTCTCTCCCACCTCAGGGACTGTAGTGGACAATGTCTCTGCTCCCAGTGAAACCGAACAGGACCCTGTGAGGCTCCTGGGCACAAAAGCCTTTCTGTGTCCCTTATTTGTAGGGAATAGGCCTCAGCCTCCATGACTTTCCCTGAGTTCCAAAGGGCAGGTTCAAACAGTTGCTAATCAATGAAGGGAGGGAATTCAGAGAGAAGGGAGGAGCAGTTAAGAAACAATAGTGCAACCTTGGGACAGGGTCCTGGTTCTGCCTCAAGGGATATACATAACAATACCTTTGAGTTCTTCTGCAGAACTAAAACCCCCAACAAATGGAAGATGTTAACTACTTGATGAAGCATTCTTCATTCTAGAGAGAAAGAGTTTGATAACCTGGAGAACCACAGAAGTTCATCAGGAGACCACCTGAGGCCAGATTAAAGGAGTGCAGGCCCTGAACACACCCTGATCCTTAACAGCAACCCTGCCCTCGAACCACTGCTATAAAACTCCTCACCAAATCCCCCTGAGTGGGAACACACAGCTTTGAGGGCATGGGTCTTCTGTGTCCCCCTTTGCCTGACAAAGCAATAAGCTATTCTTTTCTACTTCACCCAAAACTTTGTCTCCAAGATTTGATTCAGCACTTGTGCACAGAGGCTGAGTTTCGGCATCACCAAGGCCAGGACTAGGGTGAGAAAAGCAAGGCACTCACCTCAGGTACAAATTTAAGGGGCATAAAAAACTCAGTAACCAAGATAAATAATATTTTAATGCAGTATTATAAAAAAATCAACATTGATGACAAAAAGCCTTGGAGAATACAATAGCAAAAGTTTAAAAAGCGACAAGACCCGGTCCTGAACTTCCACCATTCTACCTCAGTTTCTAACTGAGCTGAACTTAGGTCTGCTCACCAGCAAAGCCAATTTAATGATACCAGGTTGTGGTGAAGGAAAGTACAGCGTTTATTACAGGGCACCAAGCAAGGAGAATGGGTAGCTAATGTCTAAAAGACCGAAACTCCCTGATAGATTTCAGGGAAGGATTTTTAAAAGCAACATTTGGGGTGAGGGTTGCAGCTCATGGACTTTCTTCAGATTGGTTGGTGCTGAGGAAACAAGGTGGTGTTTTGGGAATCTTAATCATCAATCTCTGGTTCCAACCAGTCTGGGGTCTACATGCTGGTTTTCATCATATAGTCACCACCTGGGTAGGGGTCCTAGTTTCTGCAGAACAACTCAAACATATGCATTAGATTATTATATATATCCCTTGGGGAGGAACTAGCATTCTGTTTTATCACTGAACTGTTATTTAGGCTATCATTACTTTTCTTGCTTGACTGCTTTTCTTTTGTTTCTGCATTCCCTCAATTCTCTAATTAGTAACTACCTGAGTCTGTCTCTTGGAACTCAGGAAAGTCTTAGAAGACTAAAGCCTTTTTCTACAAACAGTGGACACTGTTTCAAGAAACAGTGGACATGGAGGGACTTTTATACCTGAGACGGCCCTGCAGGGTCCTGCTTGGTTTTAGCTCCACTTTCATCCTAGGCCCATTGGATCCTGTCCTTGAACGTTTGATATTTTGTTACTATGGACTTTTTTTTAGCATTAATTTGGATTTTTTTTAAAAAACACTGTATTGCAACATTATTTATCTGGATTACTGAGTTTTTGGTGTCCTCTTTAATTTTGCACCAGGGAAAATGCCTCATTTGTCTCACCCTAGTCCCAGGGGATCTCTTGGATGCCTTTTGACTTTTTTGTTTGTTTTTTTTGCTCACACACCTTTCATTGTGGTTTTGATCCTAACAACCAGCCTCTTTTCAGAAGTCTGCCCTCAGGCAAGTGGAGAGCTATAAAGCACCAGGGAGCTCCCACCACTTCCTCCTCTTGTCCTGCTTATCCCACATCTTTAGTTCTTCCCCCTCCAGGGAACATCACCTAAGTCAGAGTTTTGTACGAGCCACTCCCTGTGATCACAACACTCTCCCTCAGGCTCTTTGTAGGGCATGCTGCTTCTCACCATCTCACTGATGTCACAATGTCACCTGCTCCTTCTCTGACCACCAAAGCCCTTCCCTTCCCTTATTTCACAGCATGCTATTTTCTTTCTTCCTAGTTCTTCTGATAGTTTACAATTATTTTATTTACTTGCTTACATTTTCTTGGTTACTGAGTCCTCTTACTAGCAGCTAAGCTTCAAAAAGACAGGAGCCATATCTGTTCCTATCATTTTGGCATCCCCCAGTGTCAGTACAGTGACAGAGTTCAACTAATGACTGCACATCAAGTCAGCATCCCTGTTTCCTGTGCCTAAGAACTGGACACTGATGAAAAGGTGTGCCCATTTGTGAAGGTGAATGACTGCTCTGTGGGTCCACTTAAAACTATTCATAAAAATTAAAGGAAATCTGCCCAAGGGATTTGTATTGTAAAAGCCTATGAAGTCTAAAAACAAGGAAACAAACAAACAAAAAAACATCCTGAGAGGACACCATTTGATGCTCTGCATCAAAATTTTTAATCTACAGGAAAACAAAATAAACTCAGCTAATCAATAAAAAGTATTAGTAGGATACAAAATAAGGAATGGAATAATAAAGGCCCAATGAAACCCCCAGATTTTGTATCATTAGTAGTACATTCTTGCACTAGCAGGGATACACTTACAAAGTGTAGAGGTAAGATTTGTAAGCCAAGAGCTCTAAGGGTGGATGCTGCAATTAGGCAAAATGTCACAATCCAAACTTCTCACATCTGGGGCACCAGGGAGCTGGAGTTCACACATCTTCCTTGGCAGAGATTGCCTACTAATAATTTCCCCCAGCTTTTAAAAAAAACCTTGTTTCTCCTTTCTGACTGATTCTTACTGCATCTTATTCCCACAGTACATCTACAAGTCCTAGAAGGTTTATAAATGCTAATATGTGCTTCCAGGTATCCCTTTCATTTAAATACCTGTAGTTGTTCAGCAATGTAAGGAATTTTTAAATTTTCTATAGCAAATGTTCTCAATGAAGGACTCTTATTAACATGCTGTAATGTTTAAAAAGAAAATTATTGTTCAAATGAACTAAAATATAAGTACAATTTAAAATTGCTTCTGCAGCAATACGTTTCTTTCCGTACCTTTCCATGATGGCATTCAGCTGTCTTGGGTATCTCTCAGGGAGAGAAGGAGTGTGGCCTTCAACAATTTTCAAAACGATGGATAAGAAATTGGAGCCAGTGAATGCATGATTCATGCAGCACATCTCATACAAAATGCATGCCAGAGACCTGAAGACACAAAGAATTTGAACGAGGAATAAATGTCCTCTTTTAAATTTGATCATCATACAAAACCTCAGATGTGTTAGGGCATTGGTTGTGAGGCACTAACATACACTCTGCTTTCTATTTAAATACATGTTTACTAAAAAAAAAAAGGAAAAAGTGAAAAAAGAAAGCACAAAATTAAGTCTGAATGAACATTTTTTGTCAGAGGAGAGCAAACAATCCAACAGGAATATGCCTACACATAGTAGGGATTCAATAAACATTTGATGAAGGTAGTAAGAAATTTTTGAATCAACCTCTTTGAAGGAAAAGTAAAATGCAGGTAAATATTGTCTTCCTAAGGCAGTTCAAATTAATGTTATATATGCAAAATAAAATTTAAATTTATTAGCATAGCCTTCCCTCTAATGTGGATCCAAGCATTCTGAAAAGGAAGCTGGCATCTTTATTAGTTTTCTAAATAGAATCCATTTGCAAGTAGGGTGGGAGAGTGGCTGCCTGCAGCACTCATTAATGTGTATAATTCTCCCTTCAGGAGTATGAAACAATATTAAAGTTCTAGATCAGTCCAACACTAATTTGTGTTAACTATGCAAATCATTCATCTCTAAACTAGCAGAAAAATCTTTTAAATAATCTACATCATTAAAAAAAAACAAGGAGAAATTTCTGCCTGAACTGTTAAGAACTTTTCTCCTGAATAATGGGTTATTTTATCTTTTAGATATTCTGAATTATGTAACTAGCCAGGTCTCTCATTTATTATTATTTGCTTGAAAGATCAGAAATAAATTTGCCGTTGACCTTGTGTAAGCTGTGTTTTATGTAACTTCAAACACTGTCCTGCTTTCTCATGAAAGGCAAGATATATATCAATACATACATACATGAATACCATCATTTTAACCATTTTGTGGGTGTTCAAGAAAATTCTGGATATATACACTGAAAACGTTTCTGTTCCAGTGAATAATAATAATACTAAAAATTTCAAACAGATTGGTACTTTACATATTACAAAGCACTTTCATATATATCTCAACAGAACATCATAACTTCCCAGTGTAATGGAGCCAATATTATATTTTTCCCATTTTATACATGATGAAACTGGCTCAGAGAAGTTAAGTGACTTGGCCAAGGTCACACAAGTGACCCTGATTGACTCTTGAGTTATGTATTTTTCTTTCCAAATCCGAGACTATTTCCATTATAGAATGCTAGAAAGAGGCAGACATTAGGAGAAATCTCACGATATTGACTAGAACACCAAGATGAATGTCAACCTTATAAATTATGAAAATTATTTGAAGCTTAATAAATTTTCATCCATCTGTAAGACTATTAAATGGTATTTGGTATAGTAGCACATATTTAGATTTCTATACCCAGAAAAACAATTTCCTTCAAATAAAGGTGAAATAAAGACATTTTTAGACCAAGAAAAACTGAGAGAATTCATGCCAGCAGGAAAGAACTAAAATCCTAAAAGGGAATTCTTCCAAAAGAAGAAAGATGATCCCAGACAGAAACAAGGAATGAAAGAAGGAATGAAGAGCACTGGAAAAAGTAATTTTCTGAATATGTTTAAATCAACATTAACTCTATAAAACTGAACTATCTTATGGGATTTAAAATTATGTGGAATAACATTTCATGACAAAAATAATGCAAAAGACAGAAGAGGGTAAATGGAGTTAAAGTATCATAAGGTCCTAATATTACTGGGAAAGTGGTAAAAGCAGTAATTTTTACTAGACTGTAATAAGTCAAGAATGCGTGTTATAACTGCTAGGATTACCACCAAAAGAATAGTAAAATAATGTATAACTGAAAAGCATAAAACTAACAAGTTACTAGAGGGAAAAGATATCAACTAACAAAATTCAAATTTAAAAAAAGCAAGAGGGACTTCCCTGGGGGCGAGTGGTTAAGAATCCAACTGCCAATGCAGGGGACAGGGATTCGAGCCCTAGTCCAGGAAGATCCCACATGTCGCAGAGCAACTAATGCCTGTGCACCACAACTACTGAGCCTGTGCTCTAGAGCCTGTGAGCCACAACTACTGAGCCTGTGTGCCACAGCTACTGAAATCCATGTGCCTAGAGCCTGTGCTCCACAACAAGTGAAGCCACTGTAATGAGAAGCCTGCGCACCACAACAAAGAGTAACCCCTGCTCGCCACAACTAGAGAAGGCCCGCGAGCAGCAATGAAGAACCAACACAGCCAAAAATAAGTAAATAAATATATTTTTAAAATAAAAATAAAAATAAATTAAAAAGCAAGAAAGGACAGAAAAAGGAACATAAAACAAGTGGTATGTGAAGACCAAAAAAGAAGATAAATTGTCATTAAGCATTTCAACATGATTGTATACATTAAAAAGGTCAAAAGACACTACAAGCTATTAGAATTCACAATTGAATTTAGCAAGTTGTTGGATACAAAGGTCATTTCTATAAGCCTGCAGTAAACACATTTTAAAAACAAAATTAAAAATGTCATTTACATTAACATCACAAAATGTCAAATATGTAGGAATAAATCAAACGTAAGATGTGCAAGACCCTACACTCTAACCTCAGTACATTGCCGAGAGAAACTAAAGAAGATCTAAAAAAAAAAAAAAAAAAAATAGGGAGGGTTAGATCCACACTCTTGAATTGGAAGGTTCAATTTATGAAGATGTCCATTTTTCCAAGAATGGCCTAGTGCAATATCCATTCAAATCCTAGCACACTTTTTTGTGGGAGTTGACAAGCTGATTCTAAAGTTTACATGGAAATGCAAAGGGACAAGGGTAGCCAAGGCAACTGAAGAAGAACAAATTTGGAGGTCTTGTATTACCAAACAACAAGATTTATTATGAAGTTTCATTTCTTATGAAAGTATGATATTGGTGAGGAAGAAAAAATAGACCAGTGGAACAAAATAGAGGGCTCAAAAACAGATCTGCATATATTCAATCACTTGACTAATGCAAAGATGCACTGTGGTAGAGGAAAAGATGATCTTTTTAATAAATTATGCTAGGTCAATTGAATATCCATATGGAAAATATTGTATATTGACTCCTGTCTCACATCATACACATGCACAAAAATCAATTATAGGTGGATCTAACTGAAAGATAAAATCATAAAATTTTTAAGAGAAAACAGGTAAATGTCTTCCTGATCTTGGCATAAGCAAAGATTTTTTAAATAAAATGCAAAAAGCGCTAACAATAAAGTTAGGGACTGATAAGATGGACTTCATTAAAATTATAAACTTCTGTTCACAAAAAAACACCATTTGGAAAGTAAAAATGAAGATACAGAGTGGGAAAAGATATTTGCAATTCAAATATCCATCCAAGACTGGTATCCAAAAAATCCCATAAATCAAACAATCAATCTTCTACAAATGAATAAGAAAAAGGAGAGAATCCAAGAGAAAAATGGCCAAAAGATTTGAAGAGACACTAAATGGCCCCAAGTCATGAGATGTTTAACATTATTAGTCATTAGAGAAATGGAAATTAAAACCACAGTGCACAGTCATCAGAATGGCAAGGCAATTATCAAGTCAGTACCTGTTAGGTTATTGAAAAAGTTTACTTGAAAAGAAGAAAGGGTAGGGCTATACACTAATATAATCATCAGATTGAACCAAATACTTTTACCTGTGTGGGTATGTGTAAAATATTTGTGTGCTGTGAACTGCCCCAATATACTTCTTATTTCCCCAGAGAAGAGTCTAATTCTAACTTCAAGAAGTTTTCTTATACTGACACAATATAGAGCTACAAGGGACTATCAAGATTTGCTAATTCCAAACTCTCACTGTATTGATGAGAAACCAAAGCTCAGAGAGAGGGAAGGACTTTGCCTGGAAAGGTGCCATGTTACATCAGCTTGTTTGATACTGGTACTAGTTCTCATTCAATATTTCTTAAAAATGTTTTCTAAAAAATTTATATTGACTACCCCCTGCTATATAATCTATTGTATAGGTAATAATTTGAACACTGAAAAAAAATAAATTAAATTCATAGGTCCAAGAGGTAGAGGCTATCCAGGCACCCACACATACTCTTCTGAGGATGCCACTCAGCCTTGTGGGCTCTTAGTCTTCTTCAGGACTTGGGCTAAAGCAGAACAAAGCCAGACAATCTCTCCTGGCTCTGACAGGTCTGAACAGTTAGATGGGAAAAATGATCCCTGACCCAGGACACTTTGAGCTGTCTTGGGAGCAGACTTTTATATTGTTTCCACCCATAATACAAATGGTAACAATAACAATGATAATAATAATGAAAATGATAGCTGAAATTTTAATTATGGTGTTTACTATAAGCCAGGCACCCTGTTCTATGTTTCTTACATACTCAAACTAATTTAATCATCCTCACAACAGTCCTAATGAAGTATGAACTATTATTATCATTCCCATTTTCCAGATGAGGAAACCCTAAAACTGGGTATATTGTTCAAGGTTCCATACTGAGTGGGTGGTAGGGCTAGTACCGCAACACAGGCTGACTGGCTCTAGAGACAGAAACTCTATGCTATCCTGACTCTCAGTGCTGTACCAATCAGAGCATTTCAGGTCCTTAAGGATGTCCTTCAGTAGGAAATCTTGGCTAGCCCTGAGAGAAGCCTTTCAGGCAGGAGTTGACTTCCCTGATTTCAGGTCCCATCTGGAACCATAATCCACCATCAAAGATCCCTGGGGCTTTAGACAAGCCATGCAGTGTATCAGACCCCGGCAAATATAGAAAACACAGACAACTAGATGTTCTGGGGCAGAAGGAAAGGAAGGCAGGCAAGTTTGGCTTTGCTTTTCTGTTGCTTGGCAGGGAAAGATTGTCTGTTGCGTGGCAGGGAAAGAGGGTTAGTGATCTATTAAGCACAGTGAGTTGATCACAAAGTCAAACCCTGGTTTTATGGAGACATAATTCTACCTGAGTCATACTTGATGAATGTATTGAGGATTATAAAAAGATGTGGAATTATCT